TCAGCATCGAAATTGGAGATGTTTCAGCCCCCTTTGTAAGTCAATGTCGAAACTCATTTATGGATGAACTTTATGTCACATTCCTTGTGCTGCTATAAATTTGCATGGGAGAATGAACTTTCTATTCTGCAATATCATTTTTACTCATTCAATTAGGTTGATCTGTTACCATAATCTCCTGTCAAGAATGTAGGGTTCCAATTCCTTTGCGTATATATTTTTTAAAAGATGCTGGTGTAGGATCTGATAGTGTTGCTTCAAAAGATATCTAATTGTTTTTTTATTTTTCTAGGTGCAAAACACAGGGTGGGCCGCAGATGATAGAAAGATCAATGAAGAACAAACAGACGATAAGCGAGCTGAATATGAGGAATTCAATTTCTTCCACACTCGTACTTCCCCTGATGAGCCTGAGCCTTTATCAGAAGAAAATGACAACGTTTGGGCCTTAATTCCTGAACTTAGAAGGAAATTGTTATTCCACCAGAAGAAGGCTTTTGAATTTCTGTGGAAAAACGTTGCGGGGTCTTTGGAACCAGCACTTATGGAACATAAGGCCAAGAAAATAGGTGGCTGTGTTATATCTCATTCTCCTGGAGCTGGAAAAACTTTTCTGATCATTGCATTTCTTGTTAGCTACCTCAAGTTATTCCCAGGAAAACGGCCTCTGGTCCTTGCTCCGAAAACAACACTCTATACGTGGTACAAAGAATTTATTAAATGGAAAATTCCTATACCAGTGTATCTAATTCACGGCCGTAGAACCTACAGAGTGTTCAAGAAGAAAACAGTGACCTTTACTGGAGGCCCGAAGCCGACGGATGATGTGTTGCATGTTTTGGATTGCCTAGAAAAAATACAGAAGTGGCATGCACAGCCGAGTGTTCTTGTCATGGGTTATACTTCATTCCTAACATTGATGCGTGAAGACTCAAAATTTGTGCACAGAAAGTTCATGGCTCAAGTGCTGCGGGAGAGTCCTGGGATCGTAGTACTAGATGAAGGGCACAACCCCAGAAGTACTAAATCAAGGTTGAGGAAGGGATTGATGAAAGTTGAAACGGACTTGAGAATATTGCTTTCAGGTACTCTGTTTCAGAACAACTTCTGTGAATACTTCAACACCCTGTGTTTGGCAAGACCAAAGTTTGTGAATGAAGTTTTAAGGGCATTGGACCCAAAATACAGAAGAAAAAAGAAAGGTAAGGAAAAAGCGCGCCATTTGATGGAAGCCAGAGCACGAAAGTTGTTCTTGGACCAGATTGCCAAGAAGATTGATTCGAACGAAGGTGAAGATCAAAGGATCCAAGGTCTAAACATGTTGAGAAATATAACAAATGGATTCATAGATGTGTATGAAGGTGGAAATTCAGACACCCTTCCTGGTCTGCAGATTTACACCTTGTTGATGAACACTACTGACATACAGCAAGAGATTTTGGACAAACTGCAAGACATAATGTCCAAATACCATGGCTACCCTCTGGAGCTAGAACTTTTGATTACCCTTGGATCAATACATCCTTGGCTAATCAAAACTGCAGCTTGTGCTGATAAGTTTTTTACTACTGAGCAACTAGAGGATCTTGAGCAGTACAAGCATGATTTGCACAAAGGGTCCAAGGTCAAGTTTGTTTTGAGCCTTATTTACAGGGTTGTCCGGAAGGAGAAGGTTTTGATTTTCTGTCACAACATTGCACCTGTGAGACTGTTTCTAGAACTGTTTGAAATGGTGTTTGGGTGGCAGAGAGGCAGAGAAGTCTTGGTTCTCACAGGAGATTTGGAGCTGTTTGAGCGCGGAAAGGTGATGGACAAGTTTGAAGAGCCTGGTGGAGCCTCAAGGGTCCTGCTTGCATCAATCACAGCTTGTGCTGAGGGAATTAGTTTGACAGCAGCTTCTCGGGTCATCTTGCTGGACTCCGAATGGAACCCTTCGAAGACGAAGCAGGCCATTGCCCGAGCCTTCCGTCCCGGTCAGCAGAAGGTGGTGTATGTTTACCAGCTCTTGGCAACTGGAACTCTCGAAGAAGACAAGTATGGGAGGACAACTTGGAAGGAGTGGGTGTCAAGCATGATTTTCAGTGAGGCATTCGTGGAGGACCCGTCCCGCTGGCAAGCAGAGAAGATTGAAGATGATATATTGAGGGAGATGGTGGCAGAGGACAAGTCTAAATCATTCCATATGATCATGAAGAATGAAAAGGCGTCAACTGTGGTCAGAGGTAAGGACTAAATTAAGCCTTGTGTGATTTAATCTAGCTTGCAGCAATATTGGGCTTTCTTTCTTCTCTCAAGTATATTGAATTTTGCCAAGCGAGAAAAGGGAAAATGAGAACCTCCCATTTGAACTTGAATTGTGTAACGGCTAAGTTGTATCTTATTATCATGAATGGCAGTTATACTTTATGATCTCATAGCCAGATCAAATAGTTTGTGTTTAAAAGAGAAAAACAAAGAAACAAAAAAATGTAAATTTACTAGGGTTACCTCGAGATCATATGTTAGATTAGAATCTCTCCTCCCCAATATCGATTGTATCAACAAAAAAAATGACGGGCCTGAAAAGGAAAACCAGGCCCAAACCAAACAAGCCGGAGGCCCAAGCTGAAAGCAAACATACAAAGAAAGGCAAAGGCATGTCATAACAAGAGATTAAAAGCCCAAAACTAAGAGAGTAAAATAGAAGCGGCCAAGTGAAGTCTCATCCTTCCTAGTGACTGAATTCTTCAAAGCTGTGCTAAAAATCAAAGGCAGGCATTAACAAAGTGAGAGAATAGTATACCATACATATTACATACTAGTGACCATATGGAGGGGAGTGGTTTCAAGTTCAACTTTAAAAAACGATCAAGTTGGTGGAAGTGGGTGGAATTAGGAAAAAAAAAAAAAAAAAAAAAAGAGAGAAGAGAGAAAGGGAGGAAAGTTCATAGAGATGGAATCACGCCTAAAGTTGTGAAGTAAATTAAACGGTGAAAACCGTAGAAAAAAATAAATAAATAAAGTTGATGATGGTAATAAAATAGAACCTAGTTGGTGCATATATGTCATGGAATTACTGAACTAGCCTCCAAAATTTAAACCTAAAATAGTTCCTTTGGGCCAGCAGTTTCCAACAAAACCATATGAGTGATCATATTATTAAGTAATCTAAATTTTGGAGAATAATCTAGAAATTATGAAAAGTTGTTGGTAGATAATGCTGCCGAGTTGATTAATTTGATGAACTTTTGTGGCGGTCAATACGGATGTCGACTAGTGGATATATCGAAAGCAAAGAAACCTAATCTGTTTTCTTCTGTGGAGCTCCCAAAAGTTGAAAGTTAGAAATAACTTTGAGGAAGGTGATGAAGTATTGCTTACACAAAGTATGTAGGCAATATGGGCAGTGGCGATGATAAGTCAAAAAGCTTGCACAAGTACTTTTATGATAATCCGACAACAAGTTGCTAGATAAGGATCTACTTGCATATAAAATTTAGCTGGAAATTTGTTTGAAATTCAATTAGTTTTCTTCTCTCTCTCTCTCTCTCTCTCTCTCTCTCTCGCATAAAGTGAGTGGGAAACATGATATGTGAGACTCACTTCACATGAGAGAATTGAAGAAAACGTTTAAAAGCACAACAACAAGAGAAAAAAAAAAGTTGAGAGTTCTACGACATCTTTCAGTCTCCAAAATTCGAATAATTCTTGCATGTTACAAGTATACGACAACAACAACAAAAAGTTGAGTTATGTGACATCTTTCAGTCTCCAAAACCCTACTCAAAACTTGCACATGATTATTTACTAATTCCCAAAAGAATTTGATTTTGAGGTAGGGTACCCAAATTATAAGATATTATTACACTAATGGAGGTAATTTAAAAGAAAGGTTTGATAGGATATTGAGAAGGTAATTATCTCCTTACTTTTCTTTATGTAGAGTGGCAGAGAAACTTATCTTTATGTAAAGTGGGAAAAAAAACTTATATGAAACGAAAATAACACGTTTTTATTATTTTCAACCAATCACGTTATGACAAGTGTTTCTCATAGAGTGGGTATAAAAAAGAATCTCCCTTACAACAAAGAGGCCAGGTAAGTCAAGTAAGCATTATGGTGCTGTAAGTTTGCACCAATAAAAGACAATTGCAATGATTGACTTTTGCAGAGGAATATTATCTCTCCGGCCTTTGCCTAGCTATTTCTTGTAAGAAGGTTTCTAAATTTGACTCCTAATTAAATAAATAGTTGAACTCACAATGCATGACTCAGGAAAATATATAGCTGGGATAAAGGGAAGGATACCTTTGTTTTTTTCCTTCTCACGTTGATCAAGTACTTCCACGAATCACGCCTCTTCTAATATCGTTTGTATTTAAAAAAAAAACATTAAGTTACATTCTCAGCGTAGGTATTGTTTATTCCTTGTAATCTTTTTTATTTATTTATAATTTTCAGTGTAGTATGCGTAAACTACGGGGACAATTAATTAATTAATTAAGAGAAAATAAGGATTAAGAAAAGAAGGCAGTTTATGGGTAATTGGATGACCGGGTAAAGTTAAATCGAAAAGTACCAAGGTTTGAAAAAACAGAATCAACACGCTATTAAAAAAAGTTTAAAAGAAATATATAAAAACAAGTGGGCAAAGGTGTAGTTGGAAATAAAGAAAGGGATAATTAAAAGGCTTAACTAAGTCCAAAGAAGAGCTGCAAGTTGAGGATCCACTTGCGAGTCCGGCGTAAGCTGTTTGTGTTCAACATCATCACCCCCAACCCCCAATCCCATTCCTCTCTCTCTCATCTTTCTCTCTCTCTCCGAGGAAACAGCAAAACTAATACAAGTGGACCTCATCACACCAGCTGAAATATTCTAACCCTAATCTCTCTCTCTCTCTCTCCTCTCTCTCTCTCTCTCTTTATGTCCATGGCTATGATATATATGATGATGTTATGAAGGCCAGCCCTAAACCTTGTTGTCTACGTTCAGAGATAGAGAAAGAGAGATCACCAAAGCAAATGCCTTCCTCACTGCAATTCCAAAGACCCATCAATAACTCTTCTAATTTTTATCCCACAAACACATTAATCCAACACAAGCAATTCCAATCCCACGCCGCGGCCGCAGCTGCAGCGGAGGACTTCACGCGCCTCCACGCTCACATGATGTTGCCCAACCCCAACCAGTGCTGCTCCGCGGTTGTGCAGTCCATCGAGGCCCCCGTCCCCACCGTGTGGTCGGTGGTGCGGCGCTTCGACAACCCACAGGCCTACAAGCACTTCCTCAAGAGCTGCCAGGTCATCGACGGGACGGGCGACGTGGGCACACTACGCGAGGTCCACGTGGTGTCGGGCCTCCCCGCGGGGTCCAGCACGGAGCGCCTCGAGATCCTCGACGACGAGCGGCACGTCCTGAGCTTCAGTGTCGTGGGTGGGGACCACCGGCTCGAGAACTACCGATCCGTCACCACGCTCCACGACTCGCCGAGTGGACTCGGGACCGTCGTCGTGGAGTCATACGTGGTGGACGTGCCGCCGGGAAACACCAAGGAGGAGACGTGCGTGTTCGTCGACACCATCGTGCGCTGCAACTTGCAGTCGCTGGCTCAGATCGCGGAGAGCATGGCCAAACCATCCACCAAGAGTAACAACAACAAACCCTCATGAAATATTATTATTTCATAATCAAAATGAGTTCATGATTCTTTCTTTCTTTTTTCGTTTTCTTTCTTTTTGTGGAGACTGTTTGTAGATTCGATAGGTTTTCTGAGGCTCTATCTCAGCAGCTGGTTGAAATGGTCAAAGGTTGTCCGTACGTAAGATATTGTGTATAATTAAAACCCCGTGTTTCCTTTACCATGTATCCCATCCCTTCTGAAGATTACCGCTCTCTCTCTCTCTCTCTCTCTCTCTCTCTCTCTCGATATATATATACAAATTATGTTTAATTTCATGATTTGTTTGTTCATCTTATTAATTTCTCTCTTGCTCAATTGTTAATTTCTTCGACGTTAATGTGGAATTTGTGTGCAAACCTCGATTGCATGATCAGGTTCTTTCTTCAGCTCCTCTCAAATTAATGGAAACAACTGTCTAATCCCGGATATAATTAAACCCTAATTAAATTAATCAACTAATAATATGCATGGTTTGTGAGTTGCATGATCTTATCTATATGCATAATGCATGTAACAAATTTCACTTGTGATTCTTTCTTGCCGTACGTTTAGTATACTAATGATATATAGGTACTAATTATCAATGTACTTTAATATAATTTAAAGAAAGTTGGCTACGAAATCGAGTTAATGTATTTTTTTATTTTCTTCTTTCTCATTGTCATTGCCAATGAGATAGATCAAAAACTGCTGTAAAGTGTTAAGATTCGCAACATTGCGCTTACACCGATGCGCTACAGAGTGTTACCACGCGTGAATGAATTAATGTAGCTTCAAATTCATGTATGGGCGGCCATGGCTACATTGCCCCAGTTGATATTGAATATAAAAACAAAAACAAAAACATTTTTACAGTTTTAATTTATTGATTCAAATTAATTAAATAGACAGAGTCTCTTGCTCCCCTCCTGCTTCGCCTTTCACTTCTAATGGGCAGTTTTTTCGTAAACACTGTCAAGATGTTATGGAAGTTCGAACCTGAGATCACTGATTTATAAGTTAATGTCATTTTTTATTAGGTTAGATCCTATTAATACCTACCATGAATATGATTTACTACGAGGAAGCGTTACTTAAAAAATTGATACTAAAAAACAAGATAATTAACTGATAGATATGGCATGTATAAAACATGCATTGCCGACCTAAAAAAATAGACATCCATCAATTATCAAATAAGATGATCAGAGCTACAGTAGGCTATATATTATATATGTAGTTAGATTATGATAAATATTATTTTGTGTCCTTTGTATTTGCTTGAGGTGTCTTGTTATAGCCTGGGGATACAGTTGGCATTTCTTGTCTACCGCAGTTTTTTCTTCGAAAGTTCAAAAAAGAAATAAAAAAGAATTATAAAATAGCAGCTTTTGGAATTATTATTATTTTTGCATAGAAGAGAATGCACGGAGGAGGAGGTATTATATTGGTCATTGGCGAAGTTGAAGAATCAATCAACAGCCGCGTTTGCAACTTGACTTTAAAACGAGGCAACTTGGTTGGAGAAACCAAATGCAAGTTGCAAATTACCAAACAAAATCAAGGAGAAACTTAAAAAAGTTTAATGCAAGTTGCAAGGTTTTGCCTGCTATTATTATAATATTAATATATATATATTTATGTTGTGTGTTGGAAGGGACGATAGTCTTTTAGGATTTGCAAGTTGCTTAGGCAAGTGGGCAAGGAAGGCAATTTAATGTTCCCCTCTTGTTCACAAGAGAATGAAATCAAAGCCACCCATTTTGCCTCGCCAGTGTGTATGTGGCTCTGTGTGTGCCCATGACTGATTTGACTAGACCAACCCACACCTAATTCTTCGCAGAAATTTTCTTGAAACCAACGTCTGAATTTAAGGTCCAAAGGGCACCATTAATTAATTTCCTCTAGATTAATATGGATTGACCATAGACTAACGATTTCTAGCTAGTCACAGTACTTCCAATTGGCATACTCATTAGTTCTTAAGAGCATTCGCAATGGTTGTTCAGTTTTACTTGCAATGGTATAATTCAATAGCTTCAGTTTATTAGCATGTGGGTCACATAATTAGCCTTTTGCAATTCAATAGAAGATTCATCACATAACACCCTCTATTGCAAATGAACTTTTACTGTTTTAGTTCAATTTATCATAATCATCGCAGATGCTCTAATTTATAGTGCTAAGTGACCATCAAATTATTTGTTCTAGAAGAGCTTTTTTTAATTATGATGTGTGACTTAGACTTGTTAACAAATGTTTTCCAACACACTCATCAATCAAGGTCAAAAATCGAAGGAGCCTCTCACCTTTGTGATTATGACAAATATTCAGCTCATATTTGCATTTCATTCCCTTGAATAAAAAGAAGGAACCTCTCACGTCGTTAGGTTTAGAAAAGTTATCTCGGCAATATAGAATTGTTGATGGTTTGAAAATCAATTATGTGTGAATATATAATTGGATTTTTTTTTAATGTTCCTTAATTTTGGAGTCTTTGCCACTAATTATACAAGACTGTTCTTAGTGTTTGTAGACTTCGTCATCACGCAAAGCCTTTGGGCCCCAAGTCTTTATGTTGTGAGCACTTTAGGGCTTCCAATGAAGTATGACCTATGATAATCGAAGCTCATTCCAAGTGTCTTGAAGGCCAGACAAGGCAAACACCAATATACACGATGTAATGGGATTGAGAATTGGATGATGCTGAGCAATGTCTCCTGGTTCACCTCCCCAGTTGAAGTACAATGTCTCATTTTATGTATGTGTGATATAAAAATGGTGGCTACTCACTTTTCCATGAAGACCCTCGTCTTCTCGGGTCCATGTTCTTCTGCACCCATCCGACCAAACTTTTCATCGCCCTGCGACAAGCCTCCATGGTGGCCACCTCCACCAAAATTTTCACCTTATCATAATTTGACCCTAGCCTACATATGAAATCTTATGCAATGAAATGTGCCCCCTGGCTGTGAAAACAGTTCATTAGAAAACAAACATTTGTTTCTAGTTACCAACCAAAAACATGAACATTTGTGGGTAGTTTGGAGGATCTTTGTTGGGCACACAGGCCCACAAACATTTGTGGGTAGTTTGAAGGATCTTTGTAGGGCATATAGGCCCACAAACATTAGGAGGTAGTTTTTTGGGTTTTGGCCGTTCGGCCCATAATGATTTGTAGATTTGTCACCTAAACTTATTTTAGTTTCAATTTGTCACTTTAATGAAATTTTTGAAGAGAATTGTCCATCAATTTTAAGGGTATTTTAGTTTTTCCATTTTCAAGAGTATTTTAGAAATGGAAAAATCATTATAAAAAAAATTTATACATGTTCAGAGAGAGAGAGAATAGGAGGAAGGGGGAAGGGGTCTTGTGCGACATGTTTTTGGGGCGGATGGGGTTGGGGTGGGGGAGAAAGGGAGAGAGGTTTCTTTTTTCTCTTTTTTTTTAATCCTTGAAAATGGAAAGACTAACATTTCTACAAAAAGAAACTTAGTTTTCAGCGATACATGATAATGCGTAGGGGTTAACCAGACGAAAAAAGATTGTCTGAAACATTGCCAAATCATTCTGTACCATTCCACATTCAATCACTTCAAGAATTTCCCTTCACAAACCTCAAATTTAATAACAAAATTTTCATTTTGATATTTCAACTTCAAAAAGACCAAATCTATCTTCCTGTATGGGGCCCCCCTTCTTTTTCCCCCACGAATCACTTACTTTTACAGTTTTGCATACATTCACTTCCCTGTTCCTTTAGCCTTCCATGTCACACATTTCATCGTTAATTTACACTATTCAATTGCCACCGGCTGGAGCTCACCAACAAGACTATCCGAAAGGAGAAGAATTCACCTTCTTTTTTCTTTCAAAAAAGAAAAGAAAAGAAAGAAGCCATATAATCAAGGGTAGAAAAGCTTGGCAAATAGAAGCTCATTCCAAGTATCCTGAAGGCCAGGCAAACACCAATGTACACAATCTGCATAGCTAACAGGGTTTGCTAATTGCTCTGGAGTCAGTGGATTCCACTGCTTCTTGTAGATTGCTGTGTGTGCATCTCTGCGATAGCTTGAGAGTTGGGTGATGTTGAGAAATGTAATGGGCACCTTTGATTTACCGAACACGTCTCCTATCACCTCCATTATATTTTTCCGGGAATCTGAACCCCAATAGTTAGGATCTTCAATCGGAGTAGTTTGATTGTAACAGTTACCTCCTGATTCACCTCCCCAATCTACACTCCTGCCAAATTATAAACATTAGTCCTCAACCTAAATTTTGTAAAAGTTTCAAGCACAAGTTCCCTTCTAAAAAGCTTCATTTTGATCTCAAATTTTCTCACTCTGTCTGTTTTTGTCCATGGTTTGCTATGCTATATATATGATTTGAAGAAATGGGGTGACAGAATTGTACTCACTTTCCATGAGAAGGCGACATGCTAGTGAAAAAGACCCTCGTCTTCTTGGGGTTCATGTTCCTCCGCACCCATCTCAACATAGTCTTCATTGCCATGCGATAAGCCTCTGTTGTTGGTACCTCCACGATATCTTTCACCTCATCATCGAAGGAACCTTGCCTGAAGATTAAACATTGGTTAAGCAATGTAGGAAGAGATAGCTATTTAAAAAAAATGTATAATTTGACTGGGGCAAGAATGTACAAGATCTTAAACTTCAAGCCGGTCATCCACCACAGATAGGTGTTAAACACCAAGACATCCACGCCCTTCCAATGCTTGCCATGCTTATTGATGGACCCTTTCCTGACAAGCCTCTCAGATATCCTATGGACGACAGCATTATCGGAGTTTGACTCGAGAAGAAATGGCGCCCAGTAGAACTCAATTGTGGCATTGTACTCCTACATTGTGGAAAAAAGAAATTTATAGGATAACAATTCAGTAAAATGTGAATGTACATTTGAGAACCAAGAATGAACCAACATAGAAACCCATAGAAATGTGACCAACCTTTGCAGTGAAAACAGTTCGTGAGTCTGAGTCGAAGGTTTCCATAGATTTGGCATCCTCGGGGATGAGCGAATGGAGAAGACAAATCATGGAAACATACTGACCCCGGTTCAGAGAATCACCAACAAACATCATCCGCTTCCCACGTAGTGTCTCGAGCATCAATGTTGCGTTGAAGCTGTATAATTTGTGAGTAGAATCGTTTACACTTTACATTACTGGGAAATTAGAAAATCCAACATCAAGTATATGATTTTGTAATAGTTGATCACCTACTAATTAATAATTACAGAAATTAAAAAAAAGAGAGCAGAAGAAGTATATATTATTAGAGAAATTAAATTACGTATATTAACATAGTTTTGAGTTTTGACAATCTTAGTTAAAATTACTTAGTTTTCTACATTAATTGCACAGGAAATGATCAGCAAACTGGGCCGTGCCCACGCCCACTATGTTTTGGGCCTTTCTCATTTCGGAGCCTTAGTGGCGGATACATACGAAATTAACGGCGGCCATCACAGCCGTTGAAAACATACACGTGTTCATACACAAATGGGGGCCCGTTCATAGCTTGTCTCACACGGGGACAGATGGAAGAAAGGTACAAGCGATTTCGATTCCCCTTGAATTTAACGCAGCTTATTCTAAACCCATGCAAGACTGGTCCACCCGGCCGGCCAGCCACCCGGCCGGTTCGATCGGAAAAAACAGGTTCGTCAAAACAAAGACAAAGGGACAAACGGTTTTGTTTGTCGGTGATGAGATTCGTGAGTAGGGGTCGAGAACAGGAGAGTTCCCATCGTACGAGTCTTTGATTTTTTGTTTTTTTGTTTTTGGTAAAGCAACGGAAAGCAAAATCGGTTCAACTTTCCCCAAGAAAACCAATTAAACGAGGAAATAAAGCGTTATACAATAAACGAGCAGCTAAAAAACGCGTTTAATGGGTGCGTAGAGCAAGAGACTGAGCCACTGACCTGGGAAGATCACAGCCGTGCGGCTGCCATCGCCATTTCTGATAATCCTTGTCAGGTCGTCCGTGTTCTTGACAAGTCAACTGAGGCTGAATGTACGGACACTCCGATTCCTCGTAAAGCGGCCGATTAGACTCGTCCCAAACCCACCTCCCACTGAATATGTCGCAGCCTTCCTCGCTCTTACCTATGGCGAACGGCAGCTTCTCCCTCTTCTTCCCTAGCCCCGAAACAAAAAACCGAATTCAGTAAAACCACAGTTTCAATTGCAAATTCCATTTTTCCAATGGGAAATTACTCGGTGATGGGTTGAGTTGACTCACCGGTTCTGATGACGAGTGGGTCCGATTTGGGGCTGAGTTGCAGCTGCTGGCCGAAGATGCACATGAGGTCCTCACCGTAGAGGACGGCGACGAAGAGGATGAAAGCGAGCAAGGTGAAGAGGTAGGGGGAGAGGCGGGCCTTGCGAAAAACAGAGGAGGAAGAGGAAGAGAATGGCGGTGGCTTCATTATTCTCATGTAAAATTATAACGTATCTGTGCAAAAATGAATCGAATGCGTATTAATTTGTTTGAGATTTATGAGAGTGAGGAGGAGGAGGAACATAGAGAGAGATTCATCGTCTTTGTGTAGAAGGGAGGGATTATTATTATATGAAATGGACGCCAGGCAGTCTTAAAAATAAAGTTGAATATTATAATGCACTATCGTTGGTGCCCACTGGCCATCGTAAGTTTCTCTCCAAGGCAAAGACTTCTGCGACAGAGTTGGTCTGTTTATGGTTAGAAGAAAATCTGTAAGAACGATTAGTTGTTGAGAAAGTAATTGATTTTAAATTGGATAGTTCAGCTCTTAATTAACTATCAAGTTTATAATTTTGAAAGTGTGAAATTTACCCTTATATGTACTCACAATTTTGGAGAATATTTGATACTTTCTGTTGACGAGTCCTTATTTAGTTAGGATTTTAGTTCCTTACTATGTTACAATTTTGGTTACTTGCCTATTTTTCGTATAATAGTTTAGATTTATTTCCTATGTTATTTAAGGTTAATACATCTTTGTATTTTTTTTATAAACACCTCCACATTGGAGCAGAATAAAATCTGAGCATATATGAATATATCTGAAAATTTATCCTACTTTGTTTGACACTTTCAAATTTTTTATATGATTGTTTTCCAATTTGTTGAAATTAATAATGATTCGCATTTAAGGGATGATACTTGTTAATAGGAACGTATAAATTCAAACATCACAGACATAAGTTTAGCTAAGTTGGCTAGAGCGGATGTACTCCCCACTCTATACCGAGTTCGAATCTCCATCTCCGTAATTTAAATTAAATTAAAATAGAACATCACTTGTATTTAAAAAAATAATAATTCAAACATTGGAAACTTCCATTATATCTTATTTAATTCCTTTGTATTTAAAACCAAAAACCATATCCAAAATGTAGGCAACTGAATCGTAAATTGCATCTCAGGTTTTCCTATGTTTGGAAATAATAAAATCCACTACCATGTTTGGTCCAAATAGAAATCTAAATCTAAATTCATAGAACGAGGAAGTGTAGTGGGTTGATACTGATGCATGATGATGTGAACTGGTTGTAATGTGGCTTGGCTTCTAAGGTAAGTGTGTCTGTCTGTCAAACATCGCAAATCATTCTCTGCACTTTCTTATCACGATGAGAAAAAGAAAGAGACATTTTTTTAATGAAGGGGGGTTTGGGTTTTTTATTTTGGTAGAGGGTGATTCGAAATTGGGTCACATTTCAGCCTCAAAGTGGTTGGCATTTACCTGCTTTCTTACGCAGCTGTGATTAGCTGACAACCACAACAAATAATGGTGACCCAACAACTAAACTTATTAAACTAATCAATTATTGTCTTCATTAATAACTTTTAATCTCACTATGCCTATGAGTTTTATTTTGCTTCTCTTGGATGTTTCAATCATATTATATGCACGAAGTTATGTTCTTTCTCATTTTGTGTCTTCCTCCTCCCTTCTCTACACGCATATATTGTACTGACTTCTGCTAAAGATCTAGCCTGTTAAATTACAGAAAGAAATCACCCTATATTCTGCTAAATATCTAGCATGTTATGTTACGGAAAGAAATCACCCTATATTTTAGGGACACGAACGGATTCCAGTACTCGTCCATGAGTTCAAATTCTGTTCTCTGCCGAAAAAGAAACATATATATATATATATATATATATATTATTTATATTCATGCAATCCTGTGTAGGTGTTTCATGTGCATCGCAACTTTGCACATGGAACTCAGTAGTTTGGGGGAGAACAAAAGAAAAATATGAATATGATTTCTTTAAATCTATGGGATTCTATTGTAATGTTCTATAGAGCATTTGAGTTTTGAATATAGTAGTGGGCAGTATAAGGCCGAACCTCAAATTTTAATCCGTAAACTGGTAAATTCAGAGCTAAAAACAAACCTTCTAAAGTTTGGGTCATCACCAATATAATTTCACAATGTAATTGCATGCATTGATGCAAAAGCAGAAAGTTTGATCATCTTTATGCCGCACTATATCATGATGCTCTTCACCATTGATCCCCCAACCCTCCCTCCCTTCCCCACCAAAAGAATAAGAGAAGAAAAGAGTTCACAACACACAAGAAAACAAAATGCCATCCTCCCTCAAACAATGCATTAATTTCATTACAAAAGTTGGCAATGTAACTTCTTACCTGAGGCTGAAGAGACAGAGAGCGCATTAAAAAGTGGCAAAAGCATAACGAGGCAGACAACGCGAGGCTGCTTGTACTACATGCTTCTAAGAGTTTGGGAAAAAGAGTCTTCACCTTTGCTCTTATACCTGTCCGGCATCTTCTTGGGCACAACTAGCAGTTGCTTTTCAAAGAGCCTCCACAATGTGGTTAGCCAGCCACATCCCAATCAGTAGAGAATACTAGCACATCAGGTAACCCTTGTGTGGTTTCAACCCAATACTATTTCTGTCGTTGGAAAAGTAAAGGCAAGAAAATTATATGATCTGGAAAATCACACAATACTAACAGGAAGTCTTCCCTGCATGTAGCATATTTGGATCATTTTAATAGGTTAAGTCGGTATCAACCGAACCAGCATCTTTTCCACCAAATCCATGAGATATCCCTCAAGCATCTATCTGCAAGACCTTCTCCCACCATATCACCATATCACCATATCACTGCCCTAACTGCTCAGCTGTGATATATATCAAGGTAACTGGATAATACTTCCAGTATACCAGTAAACAATCCCAAATTTTTTTTTGTTTTTGTTTTTGTTATTTTTTTGTGAAGGCATCAATCTGTAATATAGTTCTACCATAAGAATAGATGTGTCCAGTATCTGCATGTTTTCAAACATCTTCAGACTCTTAAATAGGAAAAATATTAACATTCAACAAATAAGATTTAAAAGGAAAAAAAAATAAAACTGCTCACTTCACACCCAAACTTCTAGTTGCGCACTATCATACATTTCAGCAGCCAAGTTAAAGCATGATACTCAAAATCAATGTTCTCATTTATCAATTTTATCTATAGAAAGATCAAGATCCATATGCAAACAATACATCCAAAATTGCCTGAACAGCAGCTGACACAACATAAGAGGGGAAATAACAAATAAGTACTTGGTAAGGATATTTTTAGATTACAAATAAAATATGACTTATGGAAAAAGAACAAAAAGAGAGATGAAAAGCATAGGTGAGATGGAAAAAGCACCCTTTCTATTATGGTGTATGGCGCATATCGAGCTTAAGTGCTAGCTTTGACAAGGCTGTTGTCTGCATACTGACCCACTTTCTCTTGTTTTCTAAATGTTGACGGCAGAGTAGAGATGATACAAATGAATTCACCAGCTTAACCTAAAACAAACATCTGTATTCTGTATGCTCAGAAGTTGACAGGAGAATACGAGCTTCGATGACCTTGAGAAGAAGATCCCCTAAATTTGCGCAATAAAGATGCAAATAGACTCTGGAATGAGAAGAGATTGTATGTTATTAACAATATATTGAGAGCTTAAGATAAAGTAAAAGGCACTTTAATTGAAAAGTTGCTAAATATCTATGCCACAGCACTAGAAGTGTTGAAGAAAGAGACAAATCATTACACCTAAACAGAATACCTGTGTTCTCTGAGGTAAGCTGGTCCAAAAATCCAAGTTTGGAATAACCTGATAAGCGGAGGAGCAACGCATCAGAGTTTAGTTAATAGGACTTAAATACCAAAGGAATTAGATCCTTGCCCCGATTCCATAATAACGATCATCATTATTTTTCCCTATTGCAATGTGATCTAGTTTTGGTATCAGACTGAATAGATGATATGCGACCATGATTTTTTAAATGGCATGCTGCCACAAAAAGTAAGATGAAAGAAACATGAGACTTTATTCCCTATTTCATGACTGCTACAAGTTTGAATTCACTTGCCCTAAGGATCATATGGTTTGGTTCTCTCTCCCCTTCAATTGCCATGGTCCATCCACTGTTTGATACATCACCATGTTCCCTTTGCCTAACTCATGACCACCATTTCACCTGACTCATTGACATATCTTAGCTCTTTCTCCTATGGATAAATTTCTAAGAGAACTCGAATTCCATCTCAAAATAATGCACAGAAAATAAATGCATACAGCAATTTCAGAACATATACATGGACAAAAATCAAGCATAACTAAATAGTTTGCAGGCAAGAAGATGAATAAATTGAGGAACATACGTGTATTCCACGAACTCCAAGACTGAAATATCGATAAACTGCCCCAGCCAGCAGATATGCTCCAAAAAGGCATAAGACTCTGAAAGTCAGATAAAATATCAATCAATTAAGATGACTTGATAAAACTTCAATAGTTAAGCATAGACAATGCTATTTGTAAGGTAACCACTTTCAGGCAAAAAATTGACTCTTACATGGTTCCTAAGGTGCCAAACCAGCCCCACCCGTGTCCATGAACATGTACGACCTTGGCACAACCAGAAGGATGCGTTAACACTGTAGCCTGTCAGATAGAGAAGATTATGAACCTCAAACTTTCTGAATCCTGCACACACTCACTAGCTATCTACCCCCTTTTCCATCTTGCTAAATGAACAGTCAAAAGAGAACCAGTTCTACACATTTCAAAGTCTTTTTTACTACCATATTTTAAAATCTATGATATAAATATTCACAGCATAAAAGACTAGCTAGTTTATCAGTTTTCCTAACACCACCACCCTTTCCTCCACCTTGACCATTTACACAAAAAGAAAGCCTACAACATAAAGTGCCACCAGCTGGAAAAAATGGGTTGAGCACATTTTCAGTCAACTAAGAAGCACACAAGTGTTAAGCAGGAAAATGAAACAGGTTGAACACATCTTCAGTTCCAACAAAGATTCTACCATTTTAATCAGATTGGTTCAGTTCAATAAATTTGGTTGGCTTGGCAAGCAATGAAGGGAAGCATCCAAGCTAAAGTTACTTATCAAATCAGGTAATAAGCTTAGTGCACAAAAGCTGAAGATGGAGGCTAAAGGTCTGCGATAGAATATCCTAACTCCCATGGAAAACTTTACCAAAGTAAAATACTATCTTATATATCATTAAGAAATAAGCATGGAGGAATAAAAGCTTTTCTGAAACAAAAAGCACTCACGTAGTCACATTTCCCAGTTTTCTCCAGTGAATGTGGACCCTGTAAAATAGAAAGATGAGAAACTAGGCCATTAACCAGGCATGTCAGAACGCCAGGATCTTTTCAAATTACACAAATTATTCTGTACAAATTCTTGCCTGAACTCTATTTGGATCACAAATTACAGACACAGAGAGCGAACAGTTGCGCTTTAGGCCACTATTTGACATCTTAACAATGACACCACTGTTAGGATTCTTCTTGTCTGCCATATAACAAGGAAGTCATAAGTCTTCCAAAATTTTATTCCCAAACAGAATCAATCATGAAGGACAGAAAGCAAGCATGTCCAGACATATTCGCATAATTCCATAATCACCTAAAGTATTGAAAACCTAAAAGTATCATTCAATTTTTAAATCTGGGGGAGACGCGAGAAAAATAAAACAGAAAACTCACCAATTATGTTAATGTCAGTGCTTGAGGCACGCCCAATGGTAGTGCACACATCATAACCTGTAGTCACCACGTGGTTAATTTTAGAAGAATAAATAGTCTTCTAAAACACAACAACTTTTTGTCCAAATTAGACAAGCAAGGCCCATCGCAAGGTCCAGCTTTGTTTGAAATTAAAAAAGAGAGCAGCACAGTTGGATAGATAGTAAGGGTATCATTCCTTCATCAACAGGTTCAAAGATGATTGAGTCACTGACTACAACTCTCGTACCAATGCAATCGAAAATGAACTCCTATTTCTGACTTTATCAACAAGCAACAGATACAGTAAAGTACATGAAGGGATACAACATTAATCATATGAAATAGAAAGCATATGTACCTCCTATGTTGTTTGCCACAAGCGCACTACAACCCATGCCACAGCGTGATGGCCCCCCACAATCCTGCAATGCTCAATATGATAATCAAGTAAATAAGATATTTCATAGAAACTTGTGTTGGACAGTAAGTTTTACTATCTTTTCCTTTCTATATGTGAAAACTGGACAAAAAGCGTCCCAACCTTTGAATGCTGTAAAAATAATCTTTCCAATCCCATAGTATTTCTATGCTAGTTTTAGATTTTAAATTTTAGAAATAACTCTTCCTCAAGTTGTTTTAGCTAGCAGTATCTAAGTGCAACCTTAAGTTGTCAAATTCCATATGTCACGTCTCTATAATTTTCTCTTTTCTCTTTGAAGGCAGAGAGCGAGAGAGAGCAAACTATCCGGAAGTGCTTCATTACATGTCACAATACAGGGAGGAACTAAGTACATCAAGTTAATAAGTGCAAGTCATTTCAGATTGCAACAATATCATTGCCGTCTCTACCAACATAAACCCAAGAACAGCATGGAAGCCAAGAAATTTACCCAGCAATCGACACATCTAGGTGGGTCGTGATTGAAAATCATTCCATCGCAAAGCTGCTCCAGACAGTCAAAGAAAAGAAACTCAATAATGAATCTAGCTGCAATACTAAGGCCTAGGCTCAAATAAATATCACATAAATGCATAATGGAATCATAAAATATATCTTCAGCTTAAGAACAATGACCTAATCATAGAAGTCAACTTCACACTAAAGAATCTTTCTCATTTTAAATTTGTTATGGAAAAGCAGAATGGTCCATGTGCCAAAAATAGAAAACATACTATCTAATTTACTGCTTGCAATTAAGCAGTAAATGCCCAAACATAAATAACTACATTGTGGTAACACGATCATAGTCATACAAAAGATCAGTTGAAAAACAAAAGTGTGACCTGATGGAGCCAACCTGAAACCAGAGCACAGTCTCATTTGCTGCCACCTTGTAGAATCTGTAGTAGTGAAATTCAAGAGCAAGGAACAACGATTTTTACTTTGATTAGAAGCTGGCCACATCAATAATTAACAAACTTACATCACAAATGTCATCATAAAGCAGAGTGCTTTCAATGTGTATCGAGTCTGACAAATCTTTGCCACCCATTAAAGCATAATGTTCCATAAAACTATTGCTCTTTTGAAGATTCTTCCCAATAGTAAACTAGAGAAATCAAAATGGCTCAACCCAATTTCTTAAAAAGACATGCGCACTAAGCTGCCTAAATAAAACACTAATCAACTAAAAAATTTGATAAATGCTTAATAGGATAAAAGCACACTACTATGAAAAATTTGAAGGAAGCTCGTCTCCAACATGGAAACAGCACAGAGAAATCAAACGAATCAAACAGTTGCAGGACATGCAGATGAGGTACATGTTCCACCCATTGCAGCAAAGCTTGTTAAACTCAATGGGCACAGATTACAAGCATGGGGCAAATTTATTGAAGGTGAGAAATAACCCATGTTTAAGTAAGACTGTTGAAATTACAAGGTAACATTCATCATTCATGTAAAATAAGAAATACCCAAATCAAGCAGCAGAGAGATGAAGACTCAGAGAGAGAGAGAGAGAGAGAGTACCCATCTTCGCTTTGGATGCCATGAGGGAATAAGGGGATGGGAGAGCCCAAGCTGTAGTCGTAGAGCTTGTTATCATCAATGACACTGAAATGGCAGTTAGCAGAGACCGAGTTAACTCGGTCCAGAATCGCTAAAATAACTAAAACCCATTTCATAAAACCGCCTCCGACCACCATATTCACCACCAAGCTCACACCAATTCTCTTAAAATCTCATGCTTGGTGAAGGAGAAGAACCAAAGCATGACACTTGATGGCCCATCACTGTACTCACTTATGCCAAGTTGCCAACAACCAACATTCGACGACATGGCGTTTTCTTTTTTCTAAAACAAACGGCATGTGTCTAATGAACGACAGGCCGTTTAAAAAGGAGAAACCTTTTAAGTTGCGAAAGCAGAAAGCTTAACGGTGCGAACCGCGAAGAAAACAGAAAAGCCATGGACGCCGACTCTTTCAACCCCAACAGCGCGCTAAGCGACACGCGCTTCTCCGACCTGAAGCCGCCACTCTCCAAGCCGGTCCTCGAAGCCCTAGCCCAAGGCGGGTTCGAGTTCTGCACGCCGGTTCAAGCCGCCACAATCCCCTTACTATGCAGGTTCAAGGACGTGGCGGTGGACGCCGCTACCGGCTCGGGCAAAACCCTAGCCTTCGTGGTTCCACTGGTGGAGATACTCCGACGAGCTTCAACCGTTCCAAAACCTCAGCAGGTCTACTCCACATCATTACTTTTTCTTTTGTATTTTGGTAAGTAGAAGGAAAAATCGAATTTTGTTTTTGTGCAGGTGATGGGAATGATTATATCTCCGACTAGGGAGCTGTCTTCGCAAATATACAACGTGGCAAAACCCTTCATTTCGACGCTGCCGAATTTCAAGTGTGTGCTTTTGGTTGGTGGAGGGCAAGTGAAAGCAGACACGAAGCAAATAGAGGAGGAAGGAGCCAATTTGTTGATTGGCACTCCGGGGAGACTATACGACATTATGGAACGCATGGATGGCTTGGATTTGCGAGACCTTGAGGTATGTATTTGTAAATGGAATTATGTTTCATGGGATTTGATTTAAATTATACTTCATGATATTTGTAGATGAGGCTGGTAAGCTGATAAAGGCTCATGTCATCTATAATTTGTTGCAGATTTTGATTTTAGATGAGGCTGATAGGCTCTTGGATATGGGTTTCCAGAAGCAGATAAATGATATTATGTCTCGCTTGCCAAAGCTTCGTAGAACTGGTCTCTTTTCAGCTACCCAAACTGAGGCAGTTGAAGAGCTGGCCAGAGCAGGACTAAGGAATCCTGTGAGAGTCGAAGTACGAGCAGAAACAAAATCGAATAATTCGGCATTGTTGCAACAGTTAGCCTCTTCAAAAACACCTTCTGGCCTTGCCATTGAGGCATGCTCTATAACATAGCATTGACTATACTAATGTGTTGCTAATGTCTCTTATTATTTCATTATTTCCTACTCTGACGGTGCACTCTGCATACAGTATCTGGAGTGCGAGGCAGACAAGAAACTGTCACAACTTGTGGATCTCCTTGTTAAGAATAAGTCTAATAAGACCATAGTGTAAGTAACATGAGATTAGTATGTTGTAGTGAATGTGATCAAATCAGATTTCCTGGTTAAATGTTGGTTAGCTTTGTATAGTGATTTTCTTTATTCTTTTTTAGATACTTCATGACTTGTGCTTGCGTTGACTACTGGGGACTTGTTCTTCCATTGCTTGGTTCTTTAAAGGGTTTCCCTTTGATTGCTCTACATGGGAAGATGAAGCAGGTAAAACATTACGGACCAGCTTACTTGGTCAATCTCTGGATTAGTATTTATTTAACTCATCAGTCCTTGTGCTTTCAAATTTTTATGTTTTCTAGGCTGCAAGGGACAAAGCTTTAGCCTCATTTACATCTCTCTCAAGTGGCATCCTTCTATGTACTGATGTTGCAGCTCGTGGACTCGATATTCCAGGTGTTGACTGTATAGTGCAGGTAGCTTATTACAGTAGCACCTAGATGGTCATTTCTGGTTATGAGAGCTAGAAAGTATAATTCACCTTCTTCTTTTTTTGCAGTATGATACCCCTCAAGATCCAAATGTTTTCATACATAGAGTTGGCCGAACAGCTCGTATGGGTAGACAAGGAAGTGCTATCGTTTTTCTGTTGCCAAAGGTTTAGTTATAGCACTCATAACTATGTGATAATTGATTCCTTGTTAACAAAACTATTTTACAGCTCTGTTATGACTCTTTTTTTTCTATGTTGATTTTCATTTATGATGTTGAAGGTTCTGATTGTAGTCACACTATTGTAGGAGGAAGCTTATGTAGAATTCCTGCGGATAAGAAGAGTGCCTCTTCAAGAAAGGAAATGTTCTGATGATGTTTCTGATGTTATTCCTCAGGTAAGCATCATTTTATTGTATCCTTTATCTAATTTTACATTGAAAAAACGTATGTGCTCAACTTATTCCTTGTTAGACCTGTTATAATAATGTGACTAGGATTCTTTTTACTGAGTGAATATCTGATCGATAACTTGTGCCAAAGATGCCAGCTTTAATATATAAGATCTTATAACACAGATTGATTTCAACACTCGTGTTTCGATGCTATTCATTAAATTAGTTTATTCTATCATATATTATCTATCATGTTGTCTTGCAAATAAAGCTTAATTTTATGGTGGTCTCTTCTGTTTTCGAAGTTTGTGGTCAAATATAATGTAGTGATATTTTTACTTTCTAAACATTTTGATAAAAGTTTTTAGTAATTGAATTGTCGTTGTGTTGAAACCTTGTTTCAGATACGATCTGCCGCAAAAAAGGACCGTGATGTCATGGAAAAGGGACTCAGGGCATTTGTTTCTTACATCCGTGCGTATAAAGAACACCACTGCTCTTACATTTTCAGGTGTCTTAACAGTGCCTTGTGTTCAACTTAGCCCTCGGAAAAAAATAAAAAGAAGAAAAAGAGGCCCTTTCTTTCTCTAATTTAAGTTTTTAATTATTGCAGGTGGAAAGAACTTGAAATTGGGAAACTGGGCATGGGATTCGGACTACTGCAGCTCCCTGCAATGCCTGAGGTCAAGCACCACTCTCTTTCCACAGAGGGTTTCATCCCTGTTAAAGACATCAACTTGGAGGAGATCAAGTTTAAGTAAGAACTCTATCAATCTTTTCTGTCACAATCTGAATAGAATTTTCACTCTCACTAACTTTGAGATATTGAAAAGCACAATACTTTGTTCATCTTAGAATCATGAGTGTTAATTTTGGCATGCAGTAGTATAGGCTTAATCTTCATGCTTGCTTTCTTCAATCTGTGATATTGATTAGGTTTTCTCAGCTCTCATGATAAGCCATTGCTAAAGGAAAGAATTTATATGTAGGGATAAATCTCGTGAGAAGCAAAGAAAGAAGAATCTGCAAGCAAAGAAAGAAGCAAAAAAGCAAGAAGTTAAACCTCAAAAACCCAACAAAAGCGCAAATGATACAGCTACTCAGATGAGGAAGAAAACAGCTAAGCAAAGACGTGCTTCCCAGACAGTTGAAGATGAAGATGAGTTGGCAAGAGAATACCGCTTGCTAAAGAAGCTCAAAAGGGGGGATATTGACGAAAGTCAATTTGCGAAGTTAACAGGAACGGAAGACTTACTTTGAAGGAATAAATAGACAGAATGTGATTCTGAAATCCAGACATTATAGAAGTCTATAGCCCTTTACGAATTTCACAGGTCATAGAAAACATTTCAGCTATGGATTGGGACGCCCATATCTGGACGAAAACAAACTGACCGAGGCATCTTAAAGTTTGTTGAAAGATAAAACCTACAGATGCAACACAAATTGTTGGAAGACAACTTTGCAGGTGAGGGGTGGAAAGAGCTTTCGCTCCTGCTAGTTTTGAATACGGGATCTGTTGATTAGTATAAATTTTCATCACCGGTTTGTGTTTGTTCGCTTTCTTATTTATTAGTTTAACTTGCTCTTCTTGTGAAATCTTCAGTCTGTTATCGCTGGAGACTGCAGAAACAGAGAATTGTATCAGAACAGTTCATAATTTTCCATGAATGAAAACAGTAGCATACATTCTTTTGTTGCCTTCAATGTCGAACAAAAAATAACATTGTATGAAAAGAACGTACATATTGGTATCGTCTTGCGGGTTTGGATGCTGCCAAACCTTCAGCCGCAAGGAAATTACATCCCAAATTGAGCAACAGTTATGATCCACTCAGTCGCGGAACAAGCATTAACATATGTGGTCAATTTCCTCCAGGGGAAAAAGTGTGGAAATTCTTTTTCTTTTGGCCTATTGTGGAGTATGCATGTGCGAACTGTCAAATCTTGCACAAACAAATTGTATGATTAGCTTCCAGAATACCCAAACAAAGCACCCATAAAATTCCAAGCACCTCATCTTCGTGCTATGTTCCAAAGCCGCTGAATTTTCTGGCCTGAAACTTATGAATCCGATTCCTATCCAAAAAGAAAAAGAAACACGAATCTTGAACATCAAACAAGGTTAGTTATTGTTGAATGAGTGTGATTTAATCTTATATGTTAACACGAATCTAACGAACTATTAATATGGTAGTAATGTCAATTAAGGTTGACGAGGGAAAAAAAAAAGTTCTTAAATTCCTGACCATATACACAGTCTCGTCTCCTCCCGTTGAAGTCTTTCGTTGTTTTTGAATATTTCCCACCAATAATACACAACCAGCTCGAGCATCTGAAAGTCTCTCTCTTTGGCAATGCTTCTTCCTCGTCTTCGCTCCTATATCATCCGTAAAACCCTCGTCTCTCTCCTTAACCTCCTCAGACTAATTCACCGAAAAGCCCAGACTTTCGTCCTCTTCTTCAGAATGTCCAAACCAACCTCCGATCTAGAGAACCAATTCTCTGCTCCGAGCCCTCCACCGTTCGACCCGACCCAGCCCGCCGTGCCAATTTCGTACCCAATCAAGACGCTCGAAGAGCTCGAGTCCAGGTCCTACTTCGAGTCCTTTCACTACCCTTTCAACAAAGCCTCGGTTGCTCTCCAATCTGCGTCGTCTTCTTTGCCGCTGCCCAATAGGCCGAGAGTGATTGTGTGCCATGACATGGTTGGTGGCTATGGAGATGACAGGTGGGTCCAAGGAGGGACTAACCCAAATGCGTATGCGATATGGCATTGGTATTTGATGGATGTTTTCATCTACTTTTCGCATAGTCTTGTTACTCTTCCACCTCCATGCTGGACCAATACGGCTCACAGGCACGGTGTTAAGGTACATGAAGTTTTGGGCTATTGGGATTTTCAGTAAATATGTTTTGGCTTTTGGGTTTTCAGTGATGGAGTGAGTAATTGTTTGTGCTTGGAATTATGAAGAGCCTGGTATAAATGGCATGACTTTTTGTTAGTTTAAGACATTGGGGTGAGCCTTTGAGTTGGGAAGTACAGAAATTGTTGTCCTTTCTTGTTTCCTGGGAACTCAGAAATGTTGATTACAAGTCATTTCGATTTGTTTATGTTTTTGCTTGTGGGTTATGGCATGTTTTGCTTTTGAGCCGTGTATAATCCCAAATGGATGTGAAAGGAATTGCTATTTGTAACTTTCTTCATTATGGAATCTAAGGTATTGGGAACTTTCATCACGGAATGGGATGAAGGCACGCTTATTTGCAATAAATTGCTCTCTACAGAAGAGTCTGCTCAAAAGTATGCTAAGTGCTTGACGGAGCTTGCTCTTGCCTTGGGCTTCGATGGATGGCTGGTATGTAGTTCACCATAACTACATGTTTTGTTAACCGGCCAATTATCATTTGGCTTATAGTGCATTGTTGAATTCCTGGTTTCTTTCATTTTTATTGTTGGTGGCAATCCGGTCTGTTGCACTCTTGTTATTTAGTTGTCACAATAACTGCTACTTGCAGATCAATATGGAGGTTGAGTTGAAGTCGAGCCAAATCCCTAATTTGAAAGTATTTGTCAGCCATTTGACCCAGACAATGCATTCCGCTGTCCCTGGCTCTTTAGTGATATGGCAAGTTTTTGGAGATACTATATTTCCAGTCACTTCTTATTTGTCCCCTTTTGTTATAGTGTACCATTTTAAGTTTAAGTTTGACTGGTTATTGTTAATTGTGCAGGTATGATAGTGTTACAACTGATGGTAAACTTAACTGGCAAGATCAACTAAATGAAAAGAATAAACCTTTCTTTGATATATGTGATGGAATCTTTGTGAACTATACATGGAAGGTATGGTTTTCACTTCTCCTCATGGAAGTTGGTTTTTGCTTTTTCATTATTATTTTACATAGTTAAAACCTATTCTCTGCAGAAAAACTACCCTATGCTTTCAGCCAATGTTGCTGGAGACAGAATGTATGATGTCTACATGGGAATAGATGTATTTGGAAGGGGCAGTTTCGGTGGTGGACAATGGAATGTATGTGACTTCGTATAACTCTGCATTTCAGAGAAGTGTTTTTGTCTTTCATGTTATCTGGTAGTCTTGTTTTTGTCTTTCACTTATTTTATACTAAATAAGTTGAATGGAGGATTGTTATATTTTGATCTCTAATAACTCTACGTATCAGACAAGTGTTGCACTTGATGTGCTGAAAAAGGATGGTGTTTCAACTGCCATATTTGCTCCTGGATGGATCTATGAGACTAATCAACCACCAAATTTTCGGATTGCTCAGAATCAGTAATTGACTTGCCCCTTGTTGCAAAGTTTCACAAACTTGTAGTCCATCGATTCGTATACAAACTATTCCTTAAAAGTTTATTTTATTATTATTTTTGGATCCATTTCTGGTGGCATCATTAAGCTTCGGAATTTCCAGTATCAGTGAATAGTTTATAGGCATTATGACAAAGGCTCACATGTTGTTTCCACATCTTTTGACAAAAAGCTGGTATAGTGATGCATTATTTCCTGACAGAAGCGGGCATAATGATGCGCTAATATTCCTAACTTAATCAAGTGTCCTTGAAATAATGAATATAGATTTTTATATGTGTACTACTAAAGCTATTTGATCTTCTTGAATGCCAACATTTAGTAATTGCCAACCCTGGTTAGTTGGAAAAGAATTTTATATAATCAGCCCCAGTTAGTTCCCATTAGGACTGGTTGAACTCTTAACAGTATGAATTTTACATTTACCATAGCTTTTTTACAGTAATTTCAGTTGTTTTATGACATATTGTCATATATTTTTGCAGTTGGTGGGCCCTTGTGGAAAAATCATGGGGAATAGCACAAAATTATCCTAAAGTTCTACCGTTCTATTCAAATTTTGATCAGGTTGTGACTATGTTGACAACTTGACACTGTAGTGGGTCATTGGTGGATATTAGACTCATGACCCTGGTTCATAAACTTCATATATCTTGTATATGCCTGTTATCTGAACGCCATTTTTCTGTACTATTGTTCAGGGCCATGGATATCATTTTTCTGTTGATGGAGAGCAAGTATCAGATGCTCCATGGTGCAACATTTCTTCCCAAGGTTTTCAGGTATGTACCAAATAGTCTTGTGGATTCTTTATTTTGCCATGGTACATATCAGTATAATCATGTATCATTAGGTTTCTGTTAGATTCCTTTCTCTTTCTTCTATTCTTTTCATTAAAATATTATCGAGTATGCTGATTATTGCAATTGACATTGGGTTTTGAATCTCACAGCCTTTCCTTGAGTATACTGACAATTCAACTCCAGATGGCATTCAGGTCCATATTGAGTAAGTTTTAGTTCTTCTTCTTCCTATCAAAACTGATAATTTAACACCTGGTGCGTGAGCACTTCTCATTTTTATATCGACTCTCAAAGTTTTGGCACCTAAGCATTGCAAAAACTTGAGTTACTCTCTGAAAACACCCCCCCAAAAAAAACTGTTACTCCTAATTCAGAGTCATCAAACTTCTGTCATGAGTACATTGTATGTGTATGTTAATATAAGACCTGAGTATTCTTCCTCATTCAAGCATATGCTGGCAAAGTATAGTTTCAGGGAAGCATCTTATAGTGGAGGAGGAAACATCACACTTAAAGGAAAACTTGAAGACAATGCTATTTTCACTGCAAGGCTCTTTCAAGGAGATCTTCTTTTGGGGGATTTACCTCTCCACTTTACATATTCTGTAAGTTATCCCTTCTGTGCATTAGAGTTACTAAAGCTGTCCAAATCTTAGTAAGACTCAACTTTTGTGTGCTGCCTAGAGTCTGATTGTTTTGACATATAGTGCACAAGCAGACAAGTGTATCCAATCTGATAGGAATTCCAGTTTGCAGTTTTTCACTTACATCTAGTTAAGTTGTGAATATTCCAATTTATGCAGGTGAAATCAGAGAATAATTCTCAACTAGGCCTGTGTCTTAATTTCTCTTCTGCTCTGAAGGAAATAAAGTCAGTACTTCTTGTTTCCCAGAACCTGAACCAATTCTCAAGCAAATTTAATAAAGTGATTATGACACGTCAACTTGAAAAGCCAGGAACTTCCTCTGGATGGGTCATACAGGAGAGTAACATCAGCATGAGTGGATACAGACTAACAGAAATAAATGCTCTGTGTTATCAGTCAGAGCCCGAATTTGATGAAAGGAGACAAAATTCCTTATCAGAAGGCCAAGATAATTCTTGTTCTCAGAATCCAAC